ATCAATAAATGTCATCCCCTATTCTGTTTACAAAACTCTACAACTTGGCCCACTACATCAGACAGGTGTAGTGATTCAATTGGCAGATCATTCTAGTACTTACCCAAGGGGTGTAGTAGAAGATGTGCTAATAGAAGTAGAAAATATGGTCTTCCCTGTTGACTTCTATGTCATTAAAATGGGAACTGATGACCAAACACCACCCATCCTTTTGGGTAGACCCTTCATGAAGACCACAAAAACAAAAATTGACGTTTCTAGTGGTTCACTAACTTTAGAGTTCGACGATCAAAAAGTGGAGTTCAACATCTTGGACTCTACGAAAAAACAAATGCAAAATCCAACTCTGTGTTCCTTACATGTTGTTGAACCACAAGAACCGCTGTTTTTCAAAGAAGCGGATAAAATCAGATGTCTTTTGAGAAAGAAACCCCGGCCTTACCGGAAAAGGCCGAAAAATAAAAATGAAAAATGGCCAAATAGGGCCTTAAAAAGTGAAACAAGGGATACTCATGATCCCACATAAAACAAAACCAAAAAAAAAATGCAGGTTTTGGAACATCTGGGGACATACCCGATCGAGTATCTCCTTATACTCGGTCGGGTATGAGCGAAAAGAAAAGGGACCGGGCACTACTCGATCGAGGGAGCATTCAAAAAAATTGAAAAATAAGCAATACCCGATCGGGTATCACTATACACCCGGTCGGGTATTGCTAGAAATGCTAAAATTGAAGGGGACTGACTCCCACACTCGACCGAGTACCCGCTTCAAAAATCAAAGAAAAGGGAGATACCCGATCGGGTATACACACTTACCCGGTCGGGTAAGCGGGATTACTCAGCATTTTAATTCGAAAAGTCCCTTCTTCTTCCCAAATTCCTTCCCCAAATCCGACCAAACCCTCCCCAAACATCCATAACCGGTTCTTCTACCTCAAATTACTCCCTGAATTCTCCACCAAATCCCTCCAAACCACCACCAAAATCTTCACCACATTTCCCTCTACATCCCATATCCATCAACACCACATTTTTCCCCAAAAGACTCAAGTCCAAGAATAATGTCTTACGCCCTCCCCCAAGTCCGAAATTTGTAACTCAAAATTCAAAGCATCAAGCGAAAATGCCACCAAAGAACAAGGGGCGAGAGTATCTCATCTAGAGCACCGGTCAGCCCGGTTATGATGGAGTCGAGCACTAGGGACAGTGCTTCGAGCTAAGTGAGGGGGAGTCACTCATCGGTGCGTACTTAAATTTGATACCTTGTAAACCAGCATTATTTTCTTCGCAAAAAAAAAAATGAAATGCTAGTTAGGTTGAAAACACAACAAATGGGCAATCTAAGCAAAAAAGGCTTACAAAAAAAAATGATGAGTGAGTGGAGAGGTGAAAAAAAAAAAAAAAAAGAGATGCTAGGATGAAAACCTGCAAAGGCTCCTAGGCAAAATGAGAGATATGAGAGATATATATTTGTTTTTACAGGACTTCATTTAATCTTTTGAAGATGAAAAGAGGAGATGAGCATAGAAGGCCATGAAATCCAAGAAGATATTATTCTTTGAGCTGAACACTCAATGTAAAACCCATATATTATCCTTGGTGGTCTTTTGCTTTTTATGGTTGATTGTTGAACTTTTGAGGACTTAAAACTGTTAAACAATTGACTTTACTCGAGGACGAGTAAAGAAGCTAAGTGTGGGGGAGTTGATATTCATGTAATTTCTGATTGTATGTTTGTATTTTTAACTAATTTTTATTAGTTCTAGTTGAGGAAATTACACACTTTTGGTGTAATACTTTATTTTCATATTTATTTGTAATTTGTTTAGATTAGGACTTTTCTGAGCTAAACAGGTCAAAGATCATCCAAGGGATCAAGATTGGACCTCAAAAGATCAAGGAAAGTGCAAGGAGACAAGAAAGATTTCGATTTGGAAAAAATACTCGTATACCCCGTCGGGTATAGGCAATACCCGATCGGGTATTTGCTTGATTCGGTTGTCCAAATCAAATCCGGGAACAAAGGATCGTGGGAGCAAATTTTCGTAAAGATTTGTCACATACCCGATCGGGTAAACCGACATACCCGACCGGGTATGTCCAGAAATGTGGTTTTCCGGGAAATTTCCTAAGATACCCGATCGGGTATCCTATATACCCGGTCGGGTATCAGCCCCTGCAGCTCCCAAAAGCCTATAAATACACCCCTTTCCTTCACAATAAAATATCGAATCCCTTTGTACATCTAAGCTCAGTATAGAATAGCTCTTTCTTTATATTTTTCATCATGTTTAGTCTCCAAATGAGGAGCTAAACTCTTCCATCTTGGTTTTGCTACTTTGAAGCTTAATGAATTTGTAAGTTGTGAGTTATTTTCTTTAATCTTCTTCCTTGAATATTAATTCTTTCTTTCAAAATACTATCTCTATATCAAAGTTGGAGAGTGTTACTAAGATGACAATTAGTTAACATCTTGACATTGGTTATAGTAATAGCTATTTCTTCCTCTATGATAATATTGGGGAGTGTTGCTAAGATGACAATTAGTTAACATCTTGATATTAATCATAGTAGGATTCATATATTTTAATATCCTTCCTTAAGTATTAATTAATTCCTATTCATATTTCATGTTAATATCTTAAACATTACTTAAAGTATCAACTAGTATTGTTTCTCATATTAATTATTACTAGAATCGATCGGTTAATACGCTTGTTATTAATCCGGTTCTTTCAACGGTAGTAAACTTGGAATATTAATGCATGCATCTCATGGTTAATATGCCAAGGGGAATTAATTATATTGATTGAACCAATAAACCGCTTGTGTTGAGGTTATCAATCTCAATCGTTTTCATCTTAAGTTTATTGCTACCATCAAGTTAATATACGGCGCTTGTTCTATATTGACTCGATAGTAAGTTTTATTAATGAACGCATCTCGTTATTAATAACTACCCTCGATGAACTGGATATACTCCTCGATTGAGTATTCGAGAGGAAGCTAGTTAAAGATATAACCGGGATCGACGAACATTTCATTAAGTGGATAAAAGCAAAACCAAGTCCCCATCTCATTGAATTAAACTCATATAGGTCGTTTATCTTAGTGTTATTAAGCCAAACAAATCTAAACCCCCCTTGTTATTATTTATATAAAAGAAAAGTATTCCTTTCCCTGTGGATACGAACCTTACTGCACTATACTACGTATTTGTGTTGTATTGATTATTTATTTTGAGTGCACCTAACGACGAGTGCACGTCACCCATCTTCACCTTACTTCTTGCCGAATTCAGATTTTCCGGGCCTAAATATTTGTGGTGTAGTGCTCAAGGGAGAGGCCAACTACCGAGAATGGGCAACGGCCATGAAAAATGCATTACGTGCGAAACGTAAAATTGGTTTTATTGATGGAAGTCTCAAACGACCAACGACCGGGACCGATGATATAGAGGACTGGACTAGTGTCAACTCTATGCTCGTTGGATGGCTTATGACAGCGGTGGATCCGAGCCTGAGGTCAAATTTGACCTACATGGAGAATGTAAAAGACCTGTGGGAAGATCTGAAGACACGATTCGAAGTGGGGGATCCTATGAGGGTGCACGAGCTTAAGGAGTCCATTCGGAAGTGCCGACAGAATGGACAAAGTATTGCTACATACTTTGGAAAATTGAAGAGTTTGTGGGACGAGTATGACGGATTTCGAATTCTGCCGCACTGTGTTTGCGGCCGATGTACTTGTGATCTGATGAAGACATTTTCGAAGCAAGTTGAGACGGAAAAGACACATGAATTCCTTCTCGGCTTGGACAGTGAGTCATATGGAATGTTACGTTCAAACATCTTGAGCGCTGAGGAGTTACCTACACATGCCAAAGTGTACCAAATGGTCGTTCAAGAAGAGCGTCACTCGACTCTGATACGTGGAAGAGAGGAGAAGGCAGAGGAAGTGGCTTTTGCGATGAAAACGGGAGATCCAGGTGGTAGCCGGGATGACAGAAAATGCACATACTGTCACAAAACGGGGCATGTTGTTGAAAATTGTTTCAAGAAAACCGGGAATTATCCCGATTGGTGGTTTGACAATCCAGGACGAGGACGTGAAGGACGAGGTGGCGGTGCACGTGGACGCGGGAATGGCGGCCGCGGACGTGGGAGAGCAGTGGCTCACGCTGCACTCACGGATGCAGCTGACAGCGAACACGTGGCAGCAGAGGACAAATCAGCGGGAATGGTACCTGGAGTAACATCCGAACAATTGAAGGACATCCTTAAGCTTCTTGAACAGTGTAAGGCCACTACCTCGGACGAAAAACTCACAGGTAACGAGACTATTACAGAATGGCTTTTGGATTCAGGGGCTTCCTATCACATGACAGGACACGCAGACTTGGTGAAAAATAAGAAAAAATTGTCCTCCATCCAGGCTGGGACATCCCTCTCAATCAGTTTTATGTTCCATTCCGTTTTTAAATAATTATGTGGACAAGTCCGATGTAGTTAAAAATTGTGATGCTTGTTTTCGTGGCAAACTAACTAGAGATGTGTTTTCAATTAATTCTTCTAAAGCAGTGGAAGCATTTGAATTAATTCATTGTGATGTCTGGGAACCTTATAGGGTACCCGCTTCTTGTGGAGCACGTTATTTTTTGACGATTGTTGATGATTTTTCAAGGGCTGTTTGGGTACATTTGTTGAATGGAAACGGTGATGTAAAGGGCGTTCTTAGGCAATTTTGTTCCATGACTAATCGCCAGTTTAACAAACAAGTTAAGGTGGTACGATCAGATAATGGTGCCGAATTTCAGTGCTTAAAAGACTATTTTTTGGAAAATGGAATAATATTCCAAACCTCCTGTGTTTACACACCTCAACAGAACGGACGAGTAGAACGTAAACATAGGCATATACTTGACATGGCTAGGACTCTTCGCTTTCATGGAAATCTACCTATAAGTTTTTGGGGGGAATGTGTCTTAGCTGCAGCTTATCTTATTAACCGATTACCTAGTCCTATTTTGAGTAATAAGACTCCTTATGAATTGTTGCACAATAGAGCACCGATGTACACACATTTGAGGGTCTTTGGATGTCTTTGTTATGCTCACAATAAAAATATTTTTGGAGATAAATTTGCATCAAGAGGAGTGAAATGTGTATTTTTGGGATATGCCTATTCTCAAAAGGGATGGAAGGTCTATGACCTCAAAAATCAACGCCACTTTGTGTCTAGAGATGTACGGTTTCTAGAGCACATTCTTCCTTTTGCTGATAAACAACGGCATGAAGTCACGAACCAAAACAGGGAGCTTGTTCCAGGGATTGGCCGATGTCACATGCATGACACGGAGAATCATTTCTTTCCAGAATATCCTACAGCGACTGACCAGCGGGTGGATACATTCGGCAGCCCACCTACTGAAGACCGAGAGGGTCAATTAGCTGCTGTTGACCAGTCCACTCCTTCCATGCAACCTGGAGAACATTCAGCTGGAGGAAATTCTCCCTCACCGCAGGCGTCACACGGGCAATCTTCACATGCTGAGACACTGTTGGAAACGGATGCCACACAGCCAACTGGGAAACGGCAGAGGCGTCCACCGAAATGGCACCAAGATTATGAAGTTAAACTTAATACTGTGAAAATATGCACTCCGCCCACGGCTTCTATCTCTTCAACGGTTGAATCGGGTAATCTTTATCCCTTATCTCATTACGTAAATTATAATCATTTTTCAGTTCCGCATAGAGCCTTTTTAGCTGCTATCTCGGCTGTTACGGAGCCCAATTCATATAAGGAAGCAGTCACAGACCCAAGGTGGAGAGAGGCTATGCAACGTGAAATTGACGCCCTTGAACGCACTGGTACATGGCGATTGGAACCACTTCCACCGGGTAAGAGAGCTATTTATTGTAAATGGGTGTATAAAATCAAATACACCTCAACAGGTTCTATTGAACGATATAAGGCACGCTTGGTGGTTTGTGGCAATAGACAGGTGGCAGGTATTGATTACACAGACACGTTTGCACCCGTTGCTAAAATGGTCACGGTGCGGACCATTTTGGCAATTGCAACTTCTTTACATTGGGAGTTGCACCAAATAGACGTGGATAATGTCTTTCTGCATGGTGACTTACGTGAGGAAGTATATATGCACCTACCTCCGGGCTATTCTTCTTCCACGCCTGGTATGGTGTGTCGGCTTCTTCGTTCTCTTTATGGGCTTCGTCAGGCGCCCCGGTGTTGGTTCTCAAAACTCACGACTTTTCTTAAGTCATATGGTTTTGTTCAATCACATGCAGATTATTCCTTATTTACTCTTCGTAAGAATAATAATATTATTTGTGTGTTGGTGTACGTGGATGATCTTCTTATTACCGGGAATAATCATACTATGATCACTGATTTTAAAGCATATCTAGCGACATCTTTTCCTATCAAAGATTTGGGCATTATGAAATATTTTCTTGGAATTGAGGTCGCTAGAAATTCTAGTGGTATTTTTCTTTGCCAACGCAAATATGTGTTGGATATATTACATGAAGCAGGGATGTCCGGTGCCAGACCAGTCGGTTTTCCCATGGTACAGAATCATGGTCTCCAGTCCGATGATGGCCCTTATTTTTCTGATCCAGCCCGTTACCGGCGACTGGTCGGGAAGCTCATTTATCTTACGCTTACTCGGCCGGATATTAGCTATTCTGTCCACATTCTCTCACAGTTTATGGACTTTTTGATAATTCTTCTATCTTTCGGGTCCTGAATTGATAAAATTCTTTTTTATTTTTATCTTTTAAACGTTGTGTCATATTCAAATGTATAAACTTTAGTTATAGAGGGAAAGAGTGTTAATTCTCTAAACAAAATGATGAATTAGAATGTTTTCACTCGGATTAAAAATTTCTGGTTTCGCCGAGTCCTATTTGAACTGATCTTGTCCGATAAATGTCGATATTATATATAATTTACTAGTGCCTGAATCTACTTTGATCTACTTAATTAATTTGTATAAGTTTTATATAATCTATTGATATGATCCAGTCGAAGGTGGTCTGATATGAAATGTATTAAACTGAAACTAGTTTCATGAAACCACCCTCCATCTAAGAATTGAAACCTAAACTAAAAATTGGTACTTACATGTGATTTGGAAGCCATTGGTAGTGCTGGGAGCAAAGAATAAGATATTGGGCTTCTAAGATTATTGGTAGATTAAACGTGGTTATATCCATGCATTTAACCTATATATAAGGAGTATTTACTTTTTGTTCTTAAACTTGTCGTGGGGCATGAGCTACTTGAGCCATTCAATTCGTGACACGTATGTCTATACGTTCTGAAACCGTATCACTGCTCTGAAATGGAATGTAATTGAGAGAACTATCCCGACTTTCATAAAAAATGCAAATAAGCTCTTTTACAGGAGGTTTTGTCCGACTGTCGCCATTTGGGACGGTTTCGGGTGGAATTTTTTATGAATTTTGTAAGCATATTCTTCATTAAGTCTAGTTTACCCATACCAAATTTCAACTGAAAATTCAATCGAGAAGGCAGTCAAATGATTTTCTGAAGTATACTGCGCTGCCTAACTACGCAGTTATCTTCAAAAATGAATTTGACTGCCTTCCGATTGAATTTTTAGCTGAAATTTGGTATGAGTAAATTAGACTTAATGAAGATGCTCAAATAATTTAATCAAAAAAATCCACAGGACACCGTCCCAAATGGCGACGGCCGGACAGAACCTCCTATAAAAGACTTATTTGTACTTTTTATGAAATTTCGAGAGCTTATTTGGTAGTTGTCCCAATGTAATTTATAAGTTTGAAAGAAGTGGGATTTGATTGATTCTTTTGGTCACGACAAAGCCTAAAGCATTTCTTTTCTTGGAAGACACTCGCCAAAGTACGTTAAAAAAGGAGTTGTAAAACTATAATAATTAAAGTTATTGTGTAGAGTTTATCATTATTGAGCAGGTTTCTATCACTAGATTCACTACCTATCGCTGATCATAAGATCATTTGTTAGTGCCATATTGCAATGTGATATTTTTTTTCAAATTGATCGATATAATTTTTTTTGTGGTCCAACTTTATAAAAAAAAAATATCAAATTAAATACTCCCTCCGTTTCTAAAAATTCTTCTCGGTTTGACTTGGCACGCTTATTAAGGAAGTGGAATAAAGTGGAAATGTATGTTTGTGGTTGTGTAAGAAAAAGGTAAAATGAATGTGAGCCACACAAATTGTCCAAAATGGGAAAGTGAGAAGTATTTTTGGGAACAACCCAAAAAGGAAAGTGAGAAGTATTTTTGGGAACGGAGGGAGTATCTTTTACGAAGTATGAACTTTATAATGGTATCACTGTTGCATATAAAAATTGATTTTTTTTGTAGATGTCTATTTTTTTCCAGATTTTTTTAATTCTAAAAATGCAATATTGGTATCATATGAAAAATCTTAAAAATTAAAAAATCGATATACTATGTTTATATTCAAATCGAACTATATATGACAAAGTTATAAAATTTGCAAAAAAAAAAAGAATTGGCATGTCACATGGCAGCCCAATAGGGTGGGAGTGAACATCACTCTCACACTGTTTAACACTAATTTGCACTGTGTTATCATTATTATTTAAGGATAGTAGAATAAATTGATATAAATTTATTTATCAAACAGGGAAATGTGACTTTATTTAGAGACATCCATAAAAGGAAATGAAATAGCGATTTAGGGACGGATGAAGTAATTTTTATCAAAAGACATTAAAAATCAGTTATTAGAATTGCTGTAAAAATCAATTAAATGGGACTAAATAAGTTCTACTTTGAGATACATTACAATATTACATAATGTTGAAGCCACGAATATGGTAAATTGTAAAACTCTAAATAATTACTAGCTACTTCATTTAAGCCACGAATTAGCAACTTGAATAGGCCAATTAAGCTACTTCACTCATTTTGAGCCTTTCTAAATTGGTTAAAGACTTATAGTTGAAGGACAAAGTTGTAGAACTGCTACAAAAGTAGACAGAAAACCTACCATCTGATTAATCTTAGAATTTTAAGCATCTCTAAATCTCTAATGCAGAATTTGTAAGTTGTTAGTTGAAAGAAAGAGATCAATTACAAAAGTTGAACTGCTACACAATGTACATCACTAACAAGTAACGCCATTTTTTAATCTTGTATCTTACATTCATACTTGTAGTTTACGTGATCCAGACAAAATCTCTGTTTTACTACTCTCATAAAATAACTACCACAATTTCTTCCTGGTTGGCCATACATGGTAACATCATTCTCATTCAAACTTTCTTTCCAGCCAAATCCTCAAGGGTAAGATTTAGGGTATCGATAGAGCCCTTCTTCACCTCCTCTCCACGAGCAGCAAGGAGGTCCTCGATGCTCCCTGGCTGTCCAAACCAACCTAGCCGGTCTGCAATTAGATGAAGGTTGTTGCACCCCCCACAACGTACCACTACCATGCCTTTCTCATAAGAATCACGGCATACAGTCTTCACAGATCTTGTTTCACATACCTTACAGGTATAGATCATTGCAAGGTCATGCCTTGATGACACCTTCAGGCCTGAAGACGTGCTGCTTTTTAAAGCACTGTAGGAATCCATTTCCGGTTCTCGCATTTTGTTCCCTGTGGGACTGTTAGCCACTGAGCTGCAATTTTCTTCCTTTAAAGTTTCCTCAGTTTGAGGGTTGGTAGATTGGCTGTGTGTCTGGATTGTTCTTCTCGGGTATTCATGTATGCTGAAAGCAGCAGCAACTCTTGATAAAGAAAGATAAGAATGTTCTGCAGACATGTTTAGGCAAATTTGTTGCTCGCCAAATACAAAGTTGTACAGAAGTTACAAAAAGATATAAAAGAAGCAACCAAAATTAGGAAGAAGGAATAAGTATGATTTTGACCTCCATGCTAGAAAACACATAGACCCCTCAACTTTTTAGGGAACCACAAAACATAAAAATGGTGAAGTTTGAAAAATTATGCCCATGAATTTTATATTATGAGAACATATACTACGTATATTATATATCCATTAACTATTTGGACATTATGACATATTTGTTCCAACTTTAGAATCTTTGTCTTTAATTGTTCCAAAATAAAGTTGAGGGATATATTTGTACTCATCGCATATAGTTCATAGAAATGAACCTATAGTTTCAGCGATAAGCCGATAACCATACCAAAATATTGCAAGTTCTCAAATGAAAGACGGTGGAGACAAAAGCAAGCAACATATATTGAGTAACTTTTAAATTTACTTTACAAGTCACACTAATTCAATATTATCACCAGAGTAAACATTAATATCACCGATCCATAGATGTTTTCAGACTGATTTTATTTGAAATGTCATAGGCATGATTGCATTTAGGTGTAAAGGCATTCGAGTGAAAGATTTTCTGACTACCAATTGATATTTTTTGAAGGGGTAGTATTATTTTGAAGTAAATTTAGTCAACACATCCGAAAAACAGTCGGTGAAATAATTTGCACATCAAAGATGAGAGAAAAGGAAGCGGGGCACGCCTATATAGATACTAGATAGTAGATATTGTATGCTAAAAAGTAGAGTTTAATGGATCAATAACACTACATAACATTATTTGATGTTTGATGATGTAAAATATATTGTATAAAAAAATCACTCATGATAAATATAAATCATGAACCAAGTTCACAAATATAATTAAATATGTTTTATTCTCAAAATAGGACTATATTTATTCCAACTTCTGTTTTAATATCCCTTAAGTTTTGGTACTAACTATGCTATAAAATGCATTCAATTTTGGGAAAAACAATGATTATCCTAATCTAATTTCAAGAAATGTGTTAGGTTTTGATACTACTTGAGGATTTTTCAAAGATTCTGAAATTGGTTCAAACAGGAGCAGGGATCCAGTATTTTGGGTATGCCTAGTATCAATTCGATAATGAACTCAGTTCATTTCAAACAACTTGATTTTGAATTGAGAAAACTGTCTAATAGACCCTCGTACTATGTCGGAAGAGTCAATTAAGCCCTCATACTTTGAAAACACCCAATTAAACCCTTAAAAAACGTTGAATTAGGCGAATAACTAGGTAACCAACCGGTTTCCCGGTTACTTGCATGTGTGGCGTTCCACATGGTGGTCTATGTGGCAAATATTGAAATTTTCTTTTTCTTTTCTCACTTTCCTTCTTTCCCAGTTGGCTGCTAATTAAAAGGATATGTATGCAAAACTTTTCTGATTTTTTTCATTCAACGAAGAGTTACGTAATATATACATATGTACATCCTAATCTCTCGGTGGATGAGAGTCCTCAAGCTACAAAAGTGCTCATCCGTTTGGAAAGATAAATACAATATTAAAATACAAAATACAATTAATTAAGGAGCCCAGCCGCACGTCCTTATCAGTTACATCTCATGCATGCAAATGGGAAAAACATGCATACGTAACAAGGAGCCAAAAAAATCACACCAACACTCCCCCTCAAGATGGAGCATGGGGGTCAAGAATGCCCATCTTGGAAAGGAGAAAATGAAACTGGGAAGCACCGAGGGCTTTAGTAAACAAATCTGCCAACTGCTCCGAGGTAGAGATATATGAAGGTATGACCACGCCCGAACGTACATGATCTCGAATGATATGGCAATCGAGTTCAATGTGCTTCGTGCGTTCATGAAAAACCGGATTAGAAGCAATGTGTATAGCTGCCTTATTATCACACTTGAGTTGCATAGGTGGTAACGGCAACCGCAAGGAAGAGAAAAGGCTTTTGAGCCAAAGTAACTCGCAAATGAGAGCAGCCATGGAGCGGTATTCTGCTTCTGCGGATGAACGGGAGACGGTGGCCTGCTTTTTGGTACGCCAGGAAATAGGAGAACCACCAAGAGTAACAAAATAACCAGTAACGGAGCGACGAGTGATGGGGCAACTAGCCCAATCAGAATCACAAAATCCAGTAAGAGAGAGAGATGTATGATGGCCAAATAGAATTCCTTGGCCGGGGTGGCCCTTGAGATACCGAAGAACTCGAAGCACGGCCTCCCAATGTGCAAGGCGTGGGGTTTGCATAAATTGGGAAAGGATATGTACCGAATAATTAATGTCCGGCCGAGTAAGAGTGAGATAAATAAGCTTTCCAACAAGACGGCGATAGCGGTCAAGCTCAGAGAAATAAGGTCCGTCATCAGATTGCAATTGATGGTTTTGAGGCATAGGAAATGGTGTGGGCTTAGCTCCAACCAAACCTGTCTCCGTAAGAATATCCAAGACATATTTGCGCTGACATAAGAAAATGCCGCGCTCACTCCGGGCAACCTCCAATCCAAGAAAGTACTTCATGTGACCCAAATCCTTAACAGGAAATGTAGAGGCCAAAGAAGATTTAAAAGAGGAGATCATGTCAGGATTAGAGCCAGTAATAAGCAAATCATCAACATAAACAAGATACATAAAATGTGTTCCCCACGATGAAGAGTAAACAAGGAATAATCCGCATGAGATTGTTGAAACCCATATGCTACTAGTGTAGTAGTCAATTTGGAAAACCAACACCGGGGTGCCTGACGAAGCCCATAGAGAGAGTGAAGTAATTTACACACCTGACCAGGTTTAGGGGTGGAATAACTTGGAGGAGGATGCATATATACTTCCTCGTGAAGATCACCGTGGAGAAAGGCATTATCTACATCCATCTGGTGTATTTCCCAATCACGGGAAGCTGCAATGGCTAGCATGGTGCGAACAGTGACCATCTTAGCCACGGGCGCAAATGTCTCGTCATAATCAATACCATGGATTTGGCGGTTACCACACACAACTAGTCGGGCTTTGTACCGATCGATGCTTCCATCACTCTTATATTTTATTTTGTATACCCATTTACAAAAAATGGGCCTTTTGCCAGGTGGAAGATCCTGGAGTTGCCAAGTTCCCGTCTTCTCCAAGGCATGTATTTCATGTTGCATGGCAGCACGCCAGCGAGGATCACAAACAACCTCCTTATACGTGCTAGGTTCGGTATGGGCAGAAACCGCTGCAAGCAAAGCTCGATGGCGAACAGAAAAACGAGTATAATTGATGTAATGAGATAAGGGATAAGGATTACCTGAGTCAACCGGTGGAGGCAAGGTTTGAGCAGGTGGAGCATCTATTTTCATAGTATTCAGCTGGACCACATAGTCTTGATGCCAACCTGGTGTCTGCCTGGTGCGTTGACTGCGTCGAGCAAGCTGGTCACCTGTATTAGTCATCCCTGGAGTTGCTGCCAATGGTCCAGCGCCTGTCATTGTCATGTTATCTTCTGTACCATTTGGCCGACTCTCCACGTGAAAGTGCTGTTGGTCAGTATGGGATGAGGACAGCTCCAGTGCATCATCGACAACAAATCTGGTAACGGGATTGTCATCCCAAGACTTAAGTGCGTCCGCATTATCTCTGACCTCCGAAACTTCATGTGGATCCTCAATTGCAAATGGAAATATTGCTTCAACGAATGTAACGTCACGTGAAACAAAAATATTCCGTGTCTCCAGATTAAATAATTTCCATCCTTTCTGGGAATGAGCATATCCCAAAAAAACACTTTTGATTCCCCGTGTAGCAAATTTGTCCCTATTTTTTTTTCATGATTATGTGCATAACATAAACATCCAAACACCCGAAATTGATCATACTTGGGCACTTTATTAAACAAAACTTCATACGGACTTTTAAAATCCAAGACAGATGAAGGCAGTCGATTAATAAGGTAGCAGGCAGTCAACACACACTCACCCCAAAAATTAATGGGCAAATGTGCATGAAATCGAAGTGTGCGTGCTACTTCCAAAAATGTCTGTGCTTGCGCTCAACTCTTCCATTCTGTTGCGGAGTATAAACACATGTAGTTTGAACTTTGAAACAAAATTCCAATGTCCAAAAAATAAGATTTCAAACACCGAAATTCTGTTCCATTATCACTCCGAACAATTTTCACTGATTTATCAAATTGACGTCCTACCATCGTAATAAATTATTTAAGTAGAGTTGAAACTTCACTCTTCTCACGCATCAAGTAAACCCATACCGCCCGTGAAAAATCATCAACAATCGTCAAAAATATCTAGCCCCACACGTTGCCGGTGAACGATACGGTCCCCAAACATCACAATGTATCATATCAAATAAATCAAATGCTCTGGAATTACTAGTGTGAAAAACATCACGAGTCTTTTTACCACGCAGGCATGCATCACAATTTTTATTTAAGCCAACTGACAACAAGGATTTATCAAAACTAAGTGCTGAACGTAAAATCTTCTCGGATGGATGTCCTAACCGAGAGTGCCACAAATTACTCGTGTCCTTCCTTCTTATTGAGTACGCACGAACATCATCAATACTATGAAAATAGAATACTCCTCCACGCTTTTCACCCGCTCCAATCGGCATCCTCGAACGTAAGTCCTGTATCACACAAACATCATTAGCAAAAATTATACCACATTTTCGTTCCTCGAGTATTTGCCCTACCGAAATCAGATTACATGTCAAACCCGGAACTAAGAGCACATTATTAAGTGTTATATTTTGGCTTAAGTTCACATCACCCCTGCTTCGTGCAATCGTAATCTCACCGTTAGGCAAATAAACAGAAAGAGGACTTATCTTCTGTGAATTGTTCAACAATTGTTTATTTCCTGTCATATGAAATGACGCGCCAGAGTCTATAAGCCATTGAGTTCCGTGAATTTTACCTGAGGTCTTCTCATGCGTATCCTTCTTACTCTGTTCTAGGAAGTCAAAGACTTTCTTCCACTGTTCGGCAGAGAGCGCAGGTGCATGCATTTTCTCGTCCAAACGTTCCGATGCATCCGGCTTCTCCTCGCCGGTCTCCCCCAACTGTACGGCATTGGCATACGCCCGGCCACGCCCTCTTCCATTGCCACCACGTCCGCGTCCGCGTCCTCGTCCCGGATTGTCGTACCACCATTCTGGGTATTGTCCCGTCTTCTTGAAACAATTTTCAACAACATGGCCAGGTTTTTTGCAATAACTGCAAATAATCCTCTCTTCTTTTCCAGTGCTCGATCCTCCAGTTCGTGTAGCAAAGGCGACTGCTTCAGCCTTTTCAGCTCCATTGCGTGTCAAGTTCAAGTGCCTCTCTTCCTGCGTAACAATCTGGTACACTTTTGTGAGTCCCGGCAGTTCTTCTTGACTGAGAAGATTTGAGCGTAATCCTCCGTATGTTTCACGGTCCAATCCCATAAGGAAATCATGTGTCTTTTCAAGTTCAATTTGCTTCATCAAATGCTTGTTTAATTCACACCTACAACGTCCACATGTGCATTCCGGAATATTTCGTAGCCCGTCGTAATCATCCCACAACGCCTTGAGTCTTCCATAATATGCCGTAATCGTTTGTCCATTTTGCCGGCAGGATCGGATTGATTCCTTGAGCTCATGAATTCTCATGGAATCAGCCACCTCGAACCGATCCTTCAGGTCATTCCATAGTTCGGCAGCATCCTCCGTGTATCCAATATTTGTTCGTAGCGTTGGATCAATGGCTGTCATCAGCCAGCCTACCAGCATCGAATTGACCGTACACCAGTCTTCGAGGTCTTCCACGCCGTTTTCCGGTCGTTTAATCGTTCCGTCCAGAAAACCAAATTTCCGTTTAGTTCGAAAGGCGTTCTTCATCGCCGTCGTCCATTCCCTAAAATTCCCTTCACCCTTTAGAGTGAATCCGCAAATGTTGATTCCAGGATAGTCGGAGCTCGATAGAAAATACGGCGATGAGGGATCATTAATTTTCCTCCTCCTTGGTTCGCCGAAGTTCGTGTCGTGTGTCGTGTTCACCATGTTGGTGAGTTCGTCCGGTGGATTCAAGATAGGATCGTTAAAGGCTCTGATACCGGATTAAAAGGATATGTATGCAAAACTTTTCTGATTTTTTTCATTCAACGAAGAGTTACGTAATATATACATATGTACATTATAATCTCTCGGTGGATGAGAGTCCTCAAGCAACAAAAGTGCTCATCCGTTTGGAAAGATAAATACAATATTAAAATACAAAATACAATTAATTAAGGAGCCCAGCCGCACGTCCTTATCAGTTACGTCTCATGCATGCAAATGGGAAAAACATGCATACGTAACAAGGAGCCAAAAAAATCACACCAACACTGCTACATACTGCTCCTGGACTTCCCGTCTCCTTCAACCAAACCACCTGCACCATTACACATCTCCATCGCTCCTGTACTTCCAAGCCTCCATTAATGGAGGATGAACGCCGAAAATTGAGATTTAGAACCATCAATCAACTTTCATTCTTCTGCCAAACAGACTTGGAATGCACCTGATGTTCCAACGCATCCCTAGTTGCTCACCTGTAGCAGATTCAAAAGAATCGAGCTTCTAAATCGCCATTAATGCCTTATTGACATTAAAAATTGACTTTCAACAACCCAAATCGATGGAAAACTTTCTGCAAATGAAATCTAACCTAACCTAACCTAAAGGAGGTTCCAATCATGACCCTCAAAGTTGAAATCGAGACATTCAAAACTGGTTTGGAATGTGAGTAGAGCTCCCAAGCATCTATTAATGGCAGAAGCGAGCTCCAAAGATGAATTCCAGCGAGGGGTGTTTAGGTTCTCAAGGAAGAAGCATCCATTAAATCATTAATTGCCTGAAGGAGATTCTCGAGGCTAGCAACGACGAGCCAGATTGGAACCAACCTCGAACTGGGAAGGGGAAAGTCGGCATCCATATCTACGTCGCTAGGAGTTCGGGGAAAAGGGAAAGAAAAAGAGAAAGGGAACGAAAAGGGAAATAAAAAGAAAAAATAAATAGTTGCCACATGGCCCGCCACGTGTCATGCCACGCCTGTAGCTTACCTAGAGACCTGATGGTAACCTGCTGATCCGCCTAATTGAGTGCTTTTTAAGAGTTGAAGGGTTTAATTGGGTGTTTTCAAAGTACGAAGGTTTAATTGACTTTTTAAACATAGTACGGGGACCTATTTGACAGTTTTTCTTTTTTTTGAATTAGATTTGGATATGAAAGGAAGGTTACCTCTTAATATGCAAGAAGATTGGTCCCGTCGAGAACCTAAGATGGGAAGTACTCGACTGCACAGCCATCTGGAAAGCATGGGAGCAAGTACAGAGGCGAGATCGCTAGCTGCAGATAAGGTACAAAAACCAGCGCGAGAAGAAGGGAGAAAGACCTAAATCGTAGTAAAAGATTGCAAGAGAATTAGCATAGCATATGTGTATTTTATAAGTATCCAAGTCTGGTCTGGTTTGATACTAAGAACAATCCAAGAAAAAACATTCTTAGTGGCAAATTTTTAAATGTCTGGATTTATAGCAATGTAAACTTTTAAAAGTCTCAAAAAGTCTTTGTATATTCAATGCACACTTTTAGAAGTCTAAAAAGTTTACGTGTAATCGAAGTTCCATTCATTCTTATGCACTTATAAAATCATGGATTCCCGTGGACTTTTAACTCATTCTTAGCAGGGGTGGATCTAGCATTGGCATTCAGGGGGCAAAAATTTAATAAAATAACAAAGTATTGCTACGAAAAAATAAAATGTTAAGTAATAATGTTTATTTAACAAAATTTATTTTAAGCTAAAAAATAACATTTATGCAACAAAAATCAAAGACAAAATAAATATTACAGGAATAATGGTTTTCGTCAAAGTCAAATCCAAAAACTCCGCAACTTTACAACTGTTTTCTAAGGGTTTTCATCAACTGCATTACCTTAATAGAAAAGAATGGGATTACTAGCTACTAGTCTACTACACTAATACTAGGATTACTAGCTAACTAAATAATGAGATTAGTAATAATAAATCACAATCAAATTCGTACCAATATAAATGATGCTCACAAATGACAAATTACAGTATATGAATACAGAATACTAGACCTGAATTCATGCTCACTCAACGCGTCCAGATTCAATTAATGTTGCCAGTTACTAAATTCTAATTCGAGAGTTCAAACTATACACTTCATTGGCGCCGCTAGACCCTCCGATTCGGACATCAAAATTCAACTCTCCATTAACACAAACATAAACTGGTAAATGATTATTACTAGTGAACTACAACATAAATTTATAATCAATTGAGCACGCCTTTGTAGGAAAGAAAAATAAAAGTAGTTACCTTTAAGGAAATTGGATTGAGCAGTGCACATGAAAAGGTCAGGGGTGAATTCTGCACTTTCTTAAATTCCTGAATAGAGGCGCTCAGCAAGTCAGCCACCGTTCTCCGATCAGCGACCAGTCACCGGCGTGAGGCGTGCATGACCGGCTGACGAAGACTTGGAGACTTCGAGTAGGCAGGTAGCGATTGCCGATCTAGACCGCGACTCTGTGCCCTGCGATTAACGTGTGTCTGCATTCGGCGATTTTGGGCCATTATTTTATATTTGGGCTTAGGCAGAATGGATGAATTAAGTTTTTTTTGGGATGGGCCCGATTTGTTTACACGGGGATTCTATTTGCAATCCTCCAATTGCTATTCAAAGCCATTAAATAAAATTTTATTTTTATAACACCGAAAATAATAAATATAAAACTATTATTCAATTGTGTCTTTTTACAACCAAACTTTTCTCTTCTTCTCTCTAGAGAGAAACCCTAGTGGCAGATTATCTTGATTTTAAGTGTACTAACGCTTGGGATTGCAACTACGTCGAAAGAGATATCGTTGGCGGATGAACGAAGTGCGGCTAAGAGGTTGTATTGAGACTGGATCATGAAGCCTTGGTCAGCCATTCCGGCAGTGGTGGAGTTGGTATTCACCCATATTGCAAGAGTTCGTCCTCCTTCAGAACCACCTCCATACCAGGGAATGCTTTGTGGAAAGATTTTATTTCAGTATTAATTTCTCTTTACTTGCAATTGTTTTCATTTCAGCCCGAGTATATCTGGTTTGAATGTTTGGATTTTTGGAATTCTTTTGATAGGCAGGGTTTCGGTTCCATTCGTTTTAGGCCTAAATTTGCCCGTTTCATGTTTAGCGAGTCATGTCTACTCGATCCTAGGGTTCACGATTGGATCTGTAATTTCTGTATGAATATTGTCTTGTATGTGTTCTTGATTTTAATATAACGGTCGCTCTTTTATTATTCAAAAAAAACCATTAAATAAAATATAAATAAATAAATTTATTCAAATTTCTAAAATAGCCTTACACCATACTACTCCGGTGCATCAGTGGAAATAATGGTGATGGACGGCGGGCGACTACTGCAGTCACAGCAGGGGCCCTGAAGCACTTCCAAACAAGGAAGCAACGGCTGCAACTAGGTCTGGATGAAGACAACGAACTTACTTTCACAATTGATTTTCTACACACTGTTGACAGAGGCAGGCGGCCGGACGGGATGAGTACATCCAGCAGAGATGCTGCCAATGCGGCGGAGCCACCACTAAACCATCTTCGCGTGTTGTCAACCAATCTCATCATGAACCGACTTCACATGCTCCTAAACGGGATAACCATAACCGCCAGTTTGTTCTACTATCTCGGAAGTAATCCTGGCATACAGGGTCGGAATTAGAAAATATTTTAAGCGGGACACAATCAAATAATGTAAATCATCACATTACTAATAAAATTGTCTTAACAAATTACACTAATAAAACATAAAAATTTTAATCCGGGGGAAATATTTCTCAATTGAAATTCCATAAAAATAAATATCGAAAACAAAAATAATTAATTCAAACTATTATAAATACTTAATTTAATACAAATAATACATTAACACAATAACACATAATATTTGCATTTAATTCAAACTATTTTACACATAATTAGGAATTTAAAAAAATCAATAACGAAATACCAAAATTTTAATTTAATTTCAAATTGAAAAAAAATAGGAAAACGAAAACCTAACGGGCAAGTCACAAACGAAAACAAAAAATAGCGAACAATTAGGGAAATAATAGAACAAAACGAAAAGAAAGATAAAAAGAAAAGGAAAATAATTGTCACAATGTCAAATAATATCACAATGTCAAACATTGTCATTATGAACATTGTCAAAATAAATAATAGTATCTCAATATTATAAACAAACAAAATGTAGGAAAATTTTTGTTATAATGTTAGAAAAATATCATAATGTAAAAAAAATGTCACAAATTTTGATAGCATCACTTACATTGTCAAAATGTCAAACGTTCTCGTTAAAATATCATCAAGGTAAAAATATCACAGTATTGTAAACATTCTAACTTTGTGAAATTATATTTATTTGCACTAAATCTTGTTTAATACTACTAGGTGGCTCTCATTGTTTCTCAACTACGTATATTGTGCATTTATGTATCCGAAGTATTTTTATATACATATGAATGTGAGAGGAGCACGTTGAACATGTTATTTTTTAATTTTCTATCTCAAGTATTTTTTGAGCGGGAAAGTTAGCTTAAAATCTCCTCCTTTTGTATATATTAAAGATCGATGTACATGTGGAAGTAAAATAAAAGCCTCGTTAATTAGTGATAACTTCACTATTATAAATAATTTTTATATGTGTTGTTGATAATAAAGTGTAGGGTTGGATATGTGATATAATTACTGAAATTTGTATTTTCCTAAAATGAGGGTAGTACTTGTGGCTAGTAATATGAGATGGAGCAAATGGGGCGGTTGTTTGTTGATACAAAATCATGACTGAAATTAGTGGTGCTATTTTGAGCCAACAATAGCGGAAAAAAGAACTCTCATTTTATCTGAATTCTTGACCACCCTTCTTTCTCCGTCTATCAAAACACACATCTAAACATTATCATCAGGAAAAAGAGGGGAATTGCATTAAACACAAAGGTAAATCCTATAATTAGATATACACTGCAGAAGGCCCAAAAATATGGATAAAAAGGAGAAGGCAAAAGAGAAAAGGGAGAAGAGACGCCAAGAGATATCTCTTTTGCGCACCATTCCGTATTCAGATCATCAAAGGTGAAGAAAGAACCTTAAAGGTTCAACCTTTATATATCGGTCTTTCAAACAGAGTCAATTTCTGAGTGTGATATATGTATGTGTATGTGTATGGGTAAATCCTGTTAGTTTTGTTGGAGGTCATGTTAGAATTTAAAAATCACAAGGAGATACACATTTCTATTTTATGAATATGGTTATCTTGGAATGGGGTAAGTAAATTGCTTATCACATTATCAAGGGTTCAATCCTTCCGCCTTGGGTTGCGGTTTGATTTTTTCAATATCAATAGAAATAATGAGTAAAATATAAAGCTTCACATCTTCCATGGACAAAAAAGACTAGTTAATACTTTCATAGAAGTGAGTAAAATAAAATCTAAATTTATATATCTAGCATCCCTTAAATTCAACCCCTCTCACACTAGCTTTCCGATTGTTATGATTGCGGGTCATTGGCACTTGTAGGATATTTTCTTAAAAAGTAGCCAAAAGCAAGCTGCTCTAATGGCTATGTCATGTGATCCGATGTCACTACTAGTGGTCCTGATTGTTAGTATCAATTTAAAAGTCACATGTTTACTCTTTTCTAAAAGCATTAGTAAATAAATCATGTTTGTATTTTAAAGAAAAAACTCTTATATGCATTTGTAAGCTAGACCAGGGACTCCCTATAATGTGTGTGCTCAGTTAAATCGTGTATTTTTAATTCATTTTTCATATTTAGTTTATTTTCTACAATATAAATGTATGAAAAAATTAATAAAATAAGTATTTCTCCTACTCTCCTAAATTTCCCAATCTAACAAGATTTGAAAACAAAAAAAAAAACAATCTAAGAATGGGGTTTGTGAATGATGATTGTGTTTAGATGGTGGACAACAGAGACCATTGCTGTGGTGACTGGTGGGAACAGAGGAATTGGATTTGAAATCACCCACCAACTTGCAATGCATGGTTTGACAGTTGTTCTCACTTCACGAGAAACTGGTGTTGGTGAAGAAGCAGTTAAGGTCTTGCAAGAAGGAGGCTTGAATGTGGTTTTCCATCAACTAGATATTTTAGATCCTCTATCAATTGAGACATTTGCTAATTGGTTAAAGGAAGAATATGGGGGTTTGGATATACTGGTATGCTTTCCACTAGTGGAGTGAGTAGTTGTGTCACTTTGGCTCTCGTGTTTAACAAGTAATAATATTTTTCTTTTTAGAGCTCTAACTTTTGTGTCTATGATACTCTAGGGATTTTTTTAACTTGGACTTGAATTTAAGCATAGTCTGGTCTTATTTGGTCTTGTCTGGTATTGTTTGAGAGTGAAATAATTCCATGTAAGAACATCCTGGTATACATCTTTAAACTATTGATTGTTTAGCCATCTGAATGCTTGAAGAGGTGCTCCTAGTATCTGTGTTTGAATTTCTACACATTTAGTCAACTTAGTAATGTGACAAATAATATTTTTTGTCTTCAGATTATTGTGAAAATTACATTTTTTGTCTTCAAACTCGGCCAACCATTTAGGCAAATTCAAAGACTAGTTCAAAAAATTTCCCAATAGTCGGACTACTAGAAGTGAAAAAATCACATACAATTTCCAAAAGTATCATTCACGGTAGTTAAAGCAAAAAAATGTTGTTACCACAAAAAAATGAAAAAAAAATAATATTCTCAATGCTGTTTGGAAACCCTTTTTAAATATATTCCCTTCTCTTTATATGTGGAAAGGACATGTTTTATGGCCTGTTTATTTTAAATTGTAGCTTTCTGGTCTTTTTAAGTATGATCTTACGCATTATGGTCTAGTTTTATTTGATTTAATGTGTATTATTATATGATTATTTGATTTGGTCTAGTCTACTATGACTTGTTCTAATTTGTTTATATCTTGGCTAATCAAACTTGTTTAATAATTTGATTGGTAAGTCAGTCCAAGGGAATGAGTCTTGGTATGCTGAATTTGAGAAGCTTCATTACTATCTTATTATTTATTATATCTCACATAATTATCACAAGTATTCAATATTTGTATGTGTAGATAAACAATGCAGGTGTGAATTTCAACTTTGGTAAGGATAACTCAGTGGAACATGCAGAAATAGTTATCAAGACGAACTACTATGGCACCAAAAATATGATCAAAACTATGATTCCATTGATGAAGCCCTCAAGTGCAGGCGGCCGTATTGTTAGTGTCACCTCACGATTAGGAAGACTCCATGGCAAGCAGAATGTAAGTCCTATGTGCTTTTAAAATGCTCTTTTTCCCACTTGACCAATCAACTAGCCACTTTAAAAATTTGATCTTTGACAGAGAATTGTAAATGATGAGTTGAGACAGAAGTTGGAGGATGTGGAGTCACTAACAGAGGAATTCATTGATGACATGGTGGAAACATTCTTAAAACAAACAAAGGATGAGAGTTGGGTGTCA